TTCCTAGCACCCTTAACATGAGCTGACTCCAAATATGAAGTTCCATTATCCTCACTGTTTTTCATATAGACATGTCTACCTAAGCAGTGCCTTCACATATTATTTTCCTCAGTGAGTACCATTTCCCTGCACCTGTTTTTAGAGCCCCATCTCTCCTTCCTCCTTCCTCGGCTGGCCTGTAATCAAAGACAATACTAGAAGGACTGTATCCTAGATATCCCCTTCCCCCACCAACTATCTAGTTAGGAAAAAAACCTCAAAACTTTAAAACACTCTGTGCACCAGAAGAATAAATCTAGTAAAACTTGTAGCAAATCAGAAGGGTTTGTTGTTTGTTTGTTTTTCCCAAAAGAATGCTGCAAAGCCTTCATAAACAAACTGTAGATAAATATATTATAACTGCTTTCTTCTGCCTCTGACTGTACTGATTAATCTGGCTATACATACTAAAAACACTGAAAGTACTGCTTTGAATTTATTTTATTTCCTTTGAGGTTTTCCACTTGAATATAAGCCTTGCTGTAAGAGAAGGGCTCCCAGACCGAATCAGGGCGGAGACACGAAAGATGAACAAACACAGAAAAAACACACCACTTGCTGGCCAACCACAATCTCAATGCTGAGGAAATGTGCAGCTCCCAGCCAGCAGGTACCAGAGAAGCCACTGATGGATTTAGGGCAAAGAAGCACAAGCCCCTAGTAGGTGGCAGACCTCCAAAACAAACATTTCCTCACTGGCTGGCCAGCTGCTCAGAAGGCACATATCTCATTATTATAAAGTATTTGCATGCTAGCTGATCAAGCCAGATGGAGAAGAAGTATATTCACACTTATTATTTGGGTACTAGAAAAAAAAAGCTCCTGCCTGGCTGCTGTCCAATCAAATATCAAACATTTCCTCTACACCTGCAGTTAAGTCTGTGTCTCACCTGGGAGGGCAATTACTGCAGTGGGTGCAGTATGGGGGTACCTCAGAAGAAAAGTGTGGCTGTGGTAAGACATGTGAGGTGTGAAACACTCAATAATTACTAAAGAAATTTCGGAAAGAAAAGAAATGCAGCAAATGCAGTAGGAAGGGGAAGATGCAGCCTTTATAGGCTCTGCAATAGTGTATATATCCACTGGTACGTAAGTTTTTTATACACAGTAAAAACAGTTGGGCAAAACATTTCCCAGGGATGTTGTAAATATTCCAAGACATACATTATACATTCAGGAAACCTGGAGATGTAATAATGAACACAGTAGGCTTTCAAATTAAGGCAACTTAAGGCACAAAAATCCTCTTGTCAATGACACTGTAGCAAGGTAAATGAGTATCTATAAAAGCACTGTAAAATTACATGCACTTTAAAAGTATATCAAAGTGAGTTTCAAGATTGTGTTTGCCATTTGGTTATTTTTCCATCATCATATCTCCTCACTGATTATCTACTCATTTTCATAACAGGATAGTCTGTACAGTAACTCATCACTGTCCTGACACAAAGCCAAACGGTGAGTCACGCTAAGGGCTTCCCTATTTTCTCCCAGAACTTGGTGGTGTCTCAGGAGCACCCATAAGACAGAAAAAGCTGCCATCTCCTGCTTTGGGTGCAGCATACATGGCATCCTATCTCTATACTGTGGCAGGTACACTGGGCACAGAGCCAGTCCCTGTGGGACCCAGCACTTCCCACCCCCCCACAAGGAACAGCCACTAGAGAGTATGGGCTGCAGCCCATCTGCAGAAGCAGCTAACGCTGCGAGGGCACAGAGGAACACTTCATGTCTCTTGACTACTCAGGCCACCCTAAGACATGGCAACTTTAAATAAGCATTCAGGTCCAAAAATTCAGATAACATCAGGTAATGATTCTGCAAATGAATCATCTGAGAAAGATATGTTTTTAGGCTAAAAAAATCTACCACTCTAGATATATACATTAGTTTCATCAATAACCCAAGAGGATCAACTAAACTTGAAGGTATAGGAGTGACTACCATTTAATATATGTCACAAATATGTCACAAAAGTGCATATTCTCAAAGAGGCTTGCCTGGAGCATTGCTGTTGTTTTCCCTTACTTAACTTGCTAAATTGCAGGCAAGAAAATTTCACGGTGAGACTTTCAAAGGAAGAGCCCAGTCATGACAGAAAACAAGACTGAACTTCTATGGAAATAACTGTATTAAAGTTACCTGCTCTCATATGAAAATATATTCAAATTTCAGTTGGAGTGGGGTTTGTCCCTTACTCAATGACTGGATGCAAGATGATCTAATTTTTCTTTTAAATTCTACTTTGATACTGAATTTCCACAGTGGATTTCTTCCAAGACCTTAAGAAAACTATTTGTACTGTGCTTATTACACCGCATGGGAAAATACAACCTGCACTTAGAAATGTGGGAAAGGGTTAGTTTCCTCTCTAGTTATTCGTGCATTTTACAAGAGGAACAAGAAAATTAATGGGAAATCTTCCCCGTTAACAGACCAATGTGTTTTGGACACAAATGCTTCAACCAGCACAACCATTCAAAACTGAGAGTGACTCAACCCTCCCTAAGGAGCATGGCATCTGTGATTATTATTGATAAATACATCCTTGTCCTGGCTTGAGTTTTAAATTTATTTCAACAGGAAAGGAAAACATTCTTGAAGATTAAATTACACTAGTTCTCTCTCCATGTGTTCTGGATTATATGCATTTATGCAGCCCCCAGGGATATGATGCAGAAGGCATCCAACTCAATGTCCCTACAAAAAAATTAAATGAGGATATGTGCTTGGAGGATTGGATTCAGGTGTAGTATGTTCCCTCAGACTGCAATAAGATGGAATGTTTTCTATGGGCTATCGTTGCTTATTAGTAGTAAATATGTATTAGCAATAAATTACTTTTGCTTATATGAGAAAAACGAAGTATTTGTCTTTTCAGCATTACCTCAAATCCTCATCTTTGCCTCAAAAAAGAGAAACAAGTTTTATAATAAAATTTTGAAGGCAAAAGCCATCCGTATCGATGTAGTACTGTTGGTAATAAAACCTTAGATAACCAAAATCTATTTAAATGCCCAGAAAATTGTTCACATCTTATACTATTTATCTGCACTTTGCATTTCTTTTAATGTATTTAATTTTAAAACCAACAACCTGTTTCACCCATTTCCATTTCTGTCTGATGAACTTCAACTGCAAACACAGAATAATATTTTAAATATGGAAGGGGCAATGTTTGCTTTTGTATCTCTTAGGAATAATATAAAATTATCTATCAAAGCCTAAGATGTATACAAAACTTTTATTTTCATCAAATCTGCGTTGGTATAAACTTCAGCTAAATACACCTTTAGAAGTGTGGTTAAAAAACAGAGTATTTTAAAAAATATGGAAGAAAAAAGAAAAATACAAGAGCCTGAAACTATCCTCTTGAATCCCTAACACAGAAAAGTGACAGGGATGGAGTTAGGGTGAAGATGACACCAAATGCCTTGGACTGGCTATGACCAATACGGCCCTTGCCAAATCTTGCAGCACCTTGAACACACCTCTGACCACCCCGAATCTCAGTGTGCAATGCACTCAACAGAGACACACCCTGACACACCCTTTCCCATCAGGACCAGCCAAGGAGCTGCTGTGCTTCCCACAGATGGATTCTTCCTATTCACTTGCAACAGATGTGCTTGACAAACAACAACAAGGCAGCAACTGATCAGATTCTAATAAAAGTAGACTTTTCAGTCCACTCAGAGGCTGAAAGATGTTCACACACACACAACTGATATGAAAATGGCAGTGTCAAAACTGCCTTTCATTCCATAGGAAATTTTTCACCTTAATAGTGCTGTGCTGCTGCACAGCAAATGGTAATCATGTCATTACAGTAATACAAAATTTTTTTTCTTTTTGTTGCTAACTCAAATGCACATATTTCTCAAGCTCAACTGAGCAAAAAAAATATCAAATTTACTCTTCCAGAACATTATTTTGCTTTTTCATCCCATTCAAACTAGAAGTCTTTTTAATGTATTTCTGAAACAATGAGATATTTTGATAAAAGAAACGTTAGATACATTGGAGTCCTTAAATTAAATCACCAAATCTGATTTTACAGAAGGAGAGAGAAAATGTACTGAAATTCATTTTTGTGATGAAAAACTTCTCAGTGAGTGACTTCTCATAAATCAACCACGTACTTTCCTTAAGGGTTGTTCCCATCATTTGGTTTCCTACCAAGATTTTTTTCGAGGTTAAAGCAATGCCACTCTTGGGAAGCACAAAGCGCACTCTTATAAATTATTACTCTTTGTATAAAAGTCACAACAAACCAATTTGGTTGAATAAAATAACTTTGCTTTACCTAAACCATAAGATGGAATGCCAGAAGTTTAGAGTTACAGGAACAGGTGCGGAAGGCATCAGGTGTTTATTTTCTATACAAATTCCCAACAGATAAGGCTGCTCCAGAGGAGAGCCTGCTGTTCATCCTGGCTTTTCCTGTTGCTCTCTCCTCTATCTGCTTCTTCCATCTTCCCACAGATGTGGTCACCACTGCTTAGCAACCGAGGGGACATGATGACACAGATGAAAATCCTGCATCCAGAGCTCACCCTGCTCCACCTCCACAGTAGCAAATTACCTTCCACAGTAAATTAGGATGGATATGTTTTCTTTGTTATCTCAGAGGTACCAAGAGGAACCTCAAGACGTAGCTTGAATTGTTCTCCTCTGTGGAGAACCTGAGACTTGTCAATAAAACTGTTCCCCAGATGATAATACCAGGTGTTAAAAGAAAAAAAAAAAAAAAAAAAAAAAAAAAAAAAAAAAAAAAAAAAAAAAAGAAAAGGCTCAAAGGCTCGATACCAGGGGGATGGGGAGGAAAAAAGCAAAGACAAGAGACTCAACCGAATACCCTACCTACTTTTACTCAGCGCTCCAGCCGCCCTCCAGGGAGAGGCTTAGACCCACGCCTGGGTGGAACCCCGCGAACAGGACGGCGGAAAGGCCACACTCACCTCTGCCATGCCACAGGTAGGTGCCGTCTCCGCTCCGCGGGGCCGCCGGGTCCGTGCCGAGCGCTGCCCGCCCGCTCCGCGCCGCAGCCGCCGCCCCGGGGAGCCCCGCCCGGCCCCGGCCGCGCCCGCCGCCGCAGTACCGCCCCCGGGGGAACCCCGGCATGGGCAGCCACCGCCGCAGGTGGTGGTACCCAGCGCCGGCAACGCGCAGCGGACCCGCCGCCGGCAGGCGACGACCCAGGAACTTGCCGGTTGGACAGCGCTGTGACAGCCGTCCTCTTCTGCGCTTCATTCACCTTCAGTGCTAAATGGGTTTCCGAGAGGAAGTCGCGGTGTTCCTTGGCCGTAATCCACGGTAGTGACATTAAGCATTTGCCTTATGAGCTTTTAAAAGCATTTACGTGTGTTTCTTTTCTACTGATGACCAAGTAATACCTTGGAAAGCTGGCAGTGGAAAATAAGTTCGTCTGCAGCTCTGTGCGAGAACAGGTGTTTCATGAGATGTATTACTCAAGGAAGTGCCTCAGAGGCATTGTGTTCTTGTTTAGGCATATTTACATATGTCCTCCACGCTTTTGGGTGTGGACAACAGACAGTAATTCTGAGCAGATTTTAGAGGGAAATTGGCACCTGAAGAGCAGTAAGCATTAGAGCTGTAGAGCATCGTTCTTACAATGTGCATCTGAAATCATTATGGATCATTATGGATCACCAGTTTCAACCAAAGCCACAGCTAAACAGAAGTTAAAATTCTCAGCCCCTAAGTTAAAATGCCAGCCTGCCACTTCTTCCCAGCGCTTCCATGATCAGTGCTTCCTACTCCTGAAGGCCTCCTGCTGTGGCCTGGGCATATTGTCTGCACTGATTACCCTGTTCCAATATTCATAGAACATTGGTGCATCTCAAAAGCTGCATAAATAGGTAACATCTGTAGTTTTTGTCCGTGGTCATAGCACAAGACCATTAAAAAAAATCACTGGAAATGTTTGAATTCCCTTCTGCTTCAGAGCAGGGAAGGGCAGCATAGGATAGTTTTGATTTGAAGTATGAAACTTCCATATATACTTGTGAAATCAGAATAATTCAGTAACAGCACTTATTTTCTCAATATTTAGAAGTAAATCCTCACCTTCTTCAGAACTATGAAAAATACATTAAAAAAATTCAAAAGCATATTTGAAAATGTTCTTATGTGCTCTGGCTTCTGTATTCACATTTGCTTGCTCAAAATCTCACTTCTCTTGATGCAGCACTAGCATACCATGGCAGGGAAGAAGAGATGCTAAGAAGGCATTTTCCTCTTCACTTCCATTTTTTAGCACAGGCATCACATCACATGTTAAGCCATTTCCCCAAATTGTGTCAGATATGGTAGCAGCCCCGTAAAACCTGCTTGAAACAGTACCCATATTGTCTTGACTGGCTGCCAGAAACCAGCTTCTTGATTGTGTACAGTTAAATCAAAAATAAAAAAATAAATAATAAAAAAAAAGGCACTTATTCTGTGCAGTATTGTAACAGTTTGATAACTTCAGTCTGGCTGCTCTGAACAACATAGATCTAAGATGCTGTAATTTAGCACAGGGGACAGTGCTGCCTGACTTTGGTGACCACAAATGAAACCTTTTAGATTTCTGTGTGCATTTAAAAGTGAATGTTAAACTGGAAGAAATTACATGCAGAGGGAAAATTTTCCCTTTTCCTCCCTCTTTCTCAAAACTCAACCCAAATAAAGTGATTCATTCCCCCACCCCTTTTTCCAACGTTCTTTTAAATTGTTTCAGATTTTTTTCTTTTCCTTACTATTTTGGTGTTTTAGTGCTGATGTACAATTGTTTTATGCTTTATCTATGTTGAAATCTGTAATATTTCAGTAGCCAATGTCAATGGAATAAACCCAGTAGACTTTCTTACAACTCAGAATGCTAAACTATATTAAATAAGTAATTTTTATATTGAATTGAAATGGATCATTCCAGAGTGTTCCTACACAGCAGTGGTGTTTTTCATCTCTTTACATAGCAAGATCTACTGCAATGGTACCTGGATTCATTATTCAGCTGCAATTACTTAATGCTAGAATTGCATTCAGACAATGAATACAAACTACAGTAATTTACTTATTTGGTCCCTCTTTTCTCACAGAGTCTTAGTGATGCCTAATAATAATAACAATAAAAATAATAAAGTCATTGTTACTAATAAATACAATAATAGGATCATAACTGTAATTGCTAATAAATAAGTGAAAAGTGAGGGGGTTTATCAGATGGTACAACCTGTTTCCAATGGAGAAGAGTGAATTGCAATATTTAGTATCATAGCACCACTCAGTGTTCAAAGTGGATATGGCTTCATAATCAGAACATTTCTCAACAGCTGCACTGCCACTTGAGGAAACACAGTGATGGTACTATTTATAATCTCATTAATCCTATATATATGGCAATGTGCAGTTTACTTTAGGTACACCATGAGAGAAGTAACACACAGATACAAATGTGTGCTGAATATAAAAATTCTGGAAAAAAAAGTCTAGTACCTATTTTGATACAATTTACCCTCAGTGGAAGTATTAAAACTCACTACAGGTTGTTACCAGCATCCAAAAGCTATGAAATTATTTTGACCTGCTTAGTCCTTTAATTTCATATCTATTGATCATCCTGAAGATCAGAACAGACTTATCATCTGCCCACACTTCTCATCAAAGAACATTATACCATATAAATGTGCTAATTTTTTATTCATGAACATGATTAGCAAGGAGACGGTTGATAATTGGCTTCAGAAAGTCTAGATCTTTCATTGTATTGCCAGCTTGGCTTTCAGCCATGTTAAAGTCACAATTCTTGTAATAATGTCATGGTTTCCTCACAAGGATTGGATATAAGGGAAATGAAAATGATCCTATTTTCTTCTCCAGCAATAATTTTTTCTGTCAGCCATGAAATATTGCTGTCTCGAGAGCTGCTTCATAGACTGCCAGGATCAGCAACTTCCACAACAGTCATAAACAAATAAATTTTTATTGGATTTTTTTAACATGTATTTATGTTAATCCTCCCTTCCTCTTAGTTAATAGCTGTATTTTTATTTTAGTGATTGTACTATCAGACTTCACTACTTACATTGTCCAGTTAGGTGTTTCTTTCTGGCATTATATTGTCTACCTTCTCCTGGATTTCCTTTGCCGTAGCTCCTGTATTTTAAGATAAACTATTCAGACAGCACCCTATGGGAGAACTGTTATGTATGAGCTCATTCTGCCATGACAGTGATCTAAGAATTCAGCATCAATGCAAGATGTTTCTTGATGGTGTTAGTCAATATTATCATAGACAATATAAATGCCAAAATACATAGTATGTAAATAATAGTAGTAAACCCAAAAGTACTTTTGCCATGAGATATTGCTGCACATTCCTTTGCCACTTCATTATAAAAACAAGAAGAGGCAGAGTGGATGGAAAAATGTATTTTGCAGAAGAGTTGTAACTTGGAACAGGTATTTGGAGTCTGCATCCTATTCTGTCTGTTCGAAGTAGACACATTATCATCAGCAATCTTAAGTAACTGTGGGCCAGCCAGTTCTTATAGACAAGCTGAGAAGATATTTCTTTAGTTACTTAGCATCACAAATATTTTCTAGATTTCAGATTATTTATTCTATCAATTTCTTACCCCCTTCCAGTTTGCTAATTCTTTAAGAATTAGCAGTAGAACAGTAGAACATTTTTCCACAAATAGCCTCAGTAAAACTGCTTTTGTTTGTCAGAGTAACTCCAACTGCAGCTTTCTATTTACCTCCTTATAAAGCAAAAGGTAAAATGTGCTACATAGTAAAAAGCAATAAAAAATATGTCAGTGATTCATAGAGCTCCTCAGGCAATTCCTTTTTCTCTTGGACATAAGCTATTTAGATCTTTAGATACTAAAAAGATAGATACTATAAAGCTTATTTTCAATGTTCAATACTTTCAATGTTACCATTGAAGAAAGTATGTTTAAAGATATTTAACTCTTGCTTAAGCAATTCATTACCACACTAACATCTAAACCATTCTGTTTAATTTTGAATATTAATAGAAATACTAATACAGTATTTCTAAATCTTAACCCATTGCTTTGGTCTGCGTCAGATCTTGGATTTTTCATGTATCTTTCCAGTCACATTATATTGACCAATCCAGATGAAAAAACTTCTGCATTGCTACATATGTCATTATATCTGTGAGAATGGAATATAAAAAACTGAAAACTTGTGGATAGATGAAAAACATTAATACCATTTTGATTGCCACTTTAAAAGTGCTTTAGAGGAGAAATAAATAAAAATTTTATTAAGAATAAATAAGTTTTTAGTAGGAAATGAAGAAAATATTTCTATTCATAAAACGGATCCACGGAACTATGTGTCTGATTTTCCAACATGAAAACACAGAATACTACAGATAAAGTTGGATCTACCATACATATATGAAATTTATACCTTTATCTTGATTTAAACCCTAAATAAGTGTTAATAAATTAATACTGAAAATTAATCTGGGCAGAGATTAGGTGCTTTTACAAATTTAATAATTTAAACCAAGCCTTACCCCAGCTATTCACATTTTATTTTTGCTCCCCACATGTTGAATAATTTTTTTCTCCATCAATGTTAATTGCACTTGCACAATTTCTACCTGTAATTGAAAGAGAAATTCAATTGTTGTTGGGGTCAAAGGCAAAAGACAAAACTGCCCTAAAGAGTAAGATTTTCACAAGAGGATATGATGAAGAAACATTTTGTTACTTGTCCACCTGCTGAGTTATTGATTACACATTGTGCTGATCTGTAAAGTAAACCATGCCCACTAAGCCCATGAAAAAATCTTTAAATCCTCAAGAAGACTTTGTGCCCATAGTCTCCATAAGAGGGCACCCTTATCAAGCAGCGGGATTTTTTTTTTTTTTTTTTTTTTTTTTTTTTAAAGGCCTTTCTAAAAGCCTTAGGAGGGAAGAAAGCCCTTTGGAGAATATAGTGAGAGAAAAAGTTAC